CCCCACTGTTTTCTTTCCCCCATCCCTCCCTCATTTTTTTTCTCCCATCCCACACTCAGTTTTCTCCCCCCATCTCTCCCTCAGTCTCCTTCTCCCTCCCCTCATCTCTCCCTCAGTCTCCTTCTCCCCCCATCTCTCCCTCAGTCTCCTTCTCCCTCCCCCATCTCTCCCTCAGTCTCCTTCTCCCTCCCCATCTCTCCCTCAGTCTCCTTCTCCCTCCATCTCCTTCTCCCTCAGTCTCCTACCTTGTAGCGTGGCCGAGTGCGGAACTCAGTTTCCGGCACCCGGCGGACAGAAAGTGCTCTCTCTGAGCACTTCATTTCCGTCCGCCCGGGTACAGGACACATAAGTTCCTGTACCGCGGTGCGCTCGGCCACGCTACACAGAGTGCCTGGCAGGAGGGAGCGCTATGCGCTCACCTCCTGCCGGTCACTCCGGCTTTGCGCCTGCTGGGCCGGTGCGCCCTAAGGCGGCCACTTGTGCCGCCTTATGGATGCGCCGGCAGAGCGCACCCTCCCTCCCTCCGGCGACCAATGGATGCGTGCCCACAGAGGGGTTCGCCATCACTGCTCTAGGAAGTGCCAATTCACTGTAAATGACGGTCAACACATTGTACATCAGTCCAATGAAAAATCTAATGCATACTATTATTTTATGGGTAACATATGTCTTGTACAGTATAGTACCAAGGAAGAATTGCACATACTTTATACTTACACAGCCCATATCACTATTCCTGCCTGTACTCAGAACTATGCAAATGAGAAACATTCTAAACTACTAGAAAAAAAATAACTTTTTTTTCGCCTGAGGATATTCCTCCCAAAAAACATTTTAAAAAATCCAAAAACATGCTTAGAATAAGTGATGACTAATAATTACATTCAATTTGCCAAACAGACCTTACAAAACAGCAGAGCAACAGACTATGGACAGAAATGCCATCACTTTTACCTGTTGTTCCGCTAGTCAGAAAATGTATGTTTGTTTTATTTAGAAAGAATAACATTTGTTGACAGTTATCCTTTTAAAATAGAGCAATGTAACGAAAGCAATATATACAACTGGGTGTTTAATGGCAAGGAAATGTAGGAAGCCATTTTACAAATATACTGTTGCTATGACAACCAATGGATTATCCCCACTGGTTGTCCATCATTTAGAACTTCGCACCAGATTACCTTGTTATACATCATTCTAATAATTAAAAATATATTTTTACAGATACCTAAATGACGCAATGGGTTTCTACAGCCACACGTGGGAGCTTAT